TATGCTTAATTAGGAAGGAAAGTGAGGATGAGATTGAATTAATTATATCCTTAATTTATGGGACCTAATTAATTAAAGAGAGGAGGGGGAAGGTGCCGGCCAAGGAGAGAAGAGAGAGAGAGGGGTTAGGCATTAAGGAGGTGGGCCCAAGCAATTAAGGGGATTGAATACTTAAATCTGAAATTAATTTTAGATTTAAGTTAATATGGGGGTTTTCCTAAATTAAGGAGGATAGTTTAAAAAGAGTTTTGAAATTCAAATATTTTGAATTTGAATTTAGTTATCGTCATAAATTAGTGGGGATAAATTAAGAAAGCATTTATGGTGGATTCAAATTCAAAAGTTTGGAGGAAATAATGTGGTCGGCGGCTATTGTGGGGGAGAAGGATGTGGCCGGCGGCTTTAGGTGGTGGAGCAAGGGGTCGGCTGGTGGAGGTTTCACGCCAGCGGCCAAGGGCTTGGGTTAGGTAACTTAGATCCACGAATTGAGCACTTTCTTAATATGGATTATGTCAATTTAGGAAAAAATTCAGATTTTTAGTTGGAGTTCCCTCCTAATCTTCATGCTCCACATTTGGAAAGAGGGGAAGGCCGGCGGTTAGGGTTTGGGGTTTGGGTGGTGTTTGGCTAAGGAGGAAGGGGTGCAGGTTAAGTGGAAGGGATCTTGTTGAGGTTGACTGGCAGCTTGGGGACTTGAAGTGGCTGCGGGCGGGTGTTTGGGGAAGAAGAGGTGGCTGGATGTAGGGGAAAGGAAGAGACGATAAGAAAATACTACGAGTACTAACCGCGAGTCCCGGAATCCACCGGCAGCTGACGGGTGATGCGTGACCCTCTCCTAGGGTTTCTCCTCTCAAGAATTCAGAAAGAGATCAAGAACAAGAAAGCTAAAATTTTCATTCATATTCATCATTAACTCAAAATGCAAGAGAACTAGCCTATAAATAGGTATAATGAAACGAAAAGAAACAATGACTAAAATGCCCTTTGGGCTACGACACAACATGACCACCCCTAGGGGTAAAATGAAAAAAAAAAATAGAAATAAAAAATAAACTAGTTCATAAAAAAAAACTCCAGATGGTAGCCGCTGATCTCTGATGTTCTCATCAGATCCTATAACAAATACCCATAAGACACCATCATAATGCTCTTCAAGAAGAGATCCATCATTCTCCATGTAGGCCACTTAGAAATGATGTTGCAGATCATATCATGATTATTATTAGCATAAGGCTGATGATCAAAAGGATCGTTGTAAAGGGTTCAAAGTTGATTGTTCATTGTTTGATGGTAAACATTACTTAGTGCATGTATTGATTGACTCTTAGAGGACTATTCCACTTTGTTGAATATCTCTAAAAATTAGACAGCACTATTTTGCCAATTTCAAGTTAATTGGAATTGTCAAACATTTATGGAAAAATATTAATAATGAAGAAATAATAATTGGACAACACGCCGTTCATAATTGACCAGAAATAGAATATAGACTAAAAAAAAATATTTCTTCTCATGCCACAAGCGGTAATTGCTTACTCAAATTAGCACCATTTTAAGGCTCACTCACCGTGACTAACTACTTGAAAAATCTTGTAGAGCTTTCTTTAAACTATGTTGTTAGAGAAGGTGATTAGGTGAAAAAAACTAAATACATAAATGAATTGCATTTTAATAAGATTTATGTAGAATTTTATTAATCTGTGCATCAGACGATGCCCTTCACTTATTCATAAAATAAAAAAAATATATGAAAGAAAAGCAAGCATGTATTTTTCTCTTTTTGGATTGCTTTTTACATCTGATACTTCTACATTTGTATAGTTTAGTCATCCTGTTCGACAAACCCAATCTTTTTTTAAACTTGTCACCATTGATTCTAAGGACAAGACCACTTGCTATAAATTCCAATGGTCTTAGATGCCTTCAATGCAATCAAACAAGCCACCTCAGATTTTAATTCCTGCATCATGCTATGGCAATTGAAATTGTTGGGCTTGAGGATGATATGGGTGATGGTCTATATGAGGATATGAAAGATAATGTTTCATGCTTCGGAGATGAACAATTTGACGATCTTAAATTTATTGTTCATTTAGTTGTTGAATGATGAATGATGATTAGCTCTAACAGCTATAAAGATTAGATGAGAACTTATATCTTCCATCCCCACACCTTTTGCAATTAAAATATATGCAACTTAGTTGAAGACGTGAAAGTACTACGAAAGTAACATTTAAAACCACATTAATAGATATACTATTAAGGTTGAGTTGTATATGAATTCTTTTAATGTTGCTTGGGTTAAAAGGACATCCTTGCTTGACATTAAAAGAAGTCTTATATATATATATATTCAATTGGGTATTTATTTTGATATGATATGATCTATGAAACATATACACTTTAAAAGTCTTTCCTGTGGAAAACACTACTGACATGGGCATGCCTCCAAAAAGTTTCGATGCATATTTGAAATTCTAAAAATTATGTGAGTTGAGCTTTTTTTTCCCAACATTTGAGTCTTGTATAACTCGAATGCAATCCAACAAGATAGGTACATCCGCGGATACGAATGGGGCATGCTTAATTTATTTTTGGTCAAGTTCAAATTTGGTTCAAGATGGCATCTTTTTAGTCTTCAAAATAATATTAAAAAGTTTAGTAAATCAAGAAATTCTTTCCTCTCTTAAATATTTCTACACATCTATTGGAATATCACTAGGTCAAACAGCTTTTCCAGCATCTCTAACTTCAATTTTATTACTACGACGACAAAAACAAAAATATCTATTTTCATTTAAGATACTAAGGACACTAAAATCAATCATATTGTCACATTCTTCATTAAAAAAATTATTGAAATATCTCATCCATCTATATAGAATATCCTCTTCTAATAAAAATAGTTTTTGATTTGCATTCTTAATGCACTTCACTTGAACTAGATCCTTACTTTTCTTATCTCTTTACTTGGCTAACATATACACACATCTTTTGCCCTTCTTAGTACCCGATTTTTTATATAAATCAATAAAAGCTAAATTTTTAGCAGCACATATTGCTTTCTTAAACTCCTTACGAGCCTTTCTATATCTTTTCCAATTTTTTGAGCTTTTACATCTAAATCAAATTTTTTTGCAAAACTTCATATTTTTTATCTTTTCTTGTCATTTTGATTTTACCATCAACTATTTTAAAATTTTATAATAATTTAGAAACCTATGGTAACCCTACAAGTTTAAAAACTTCATTTCAACTCCAGAAGATTTAGCACTAGTATTTTTTTTAAAAGCTCAAACTATTCAAACCCTTGAAATATCTGTTTGATTTAAATGCCTTTAAAAAATCCCAACTAACAATTTCTAAATTTCTCTATCTGCTACTGCTGTTGCTTGACCTCAATAAGGGTCAAAGTTTCGAATCAATTAAAAAGATTTAAATGTGTTTCAGAGTCATAGGATGAGGAAGGAAGTGATTGGCTCTATCTGCTATTGCTGTTATTGGAGCAGAGGACCATTTACAGTATAATTTTCAAATATCGATATTGGTGGTTGATATGCTTATCCATTGGATAAACATTTAGCAGTAAGTCTTTTGTGTATTTCATTTGTATGTTGAAGGTTAAGGTACATTCCATACGGAAGCATCTTTTTACATTCGAAAGATTGCAAGGATGTTTTTATAATATCGACTACATACACTTCTTGTAGTTTAGTATTTTCCATTAAGTATTACTTTTGGACGACTTGCACATATTTGGGAATAAGAACTGAATTTGCTCAAAAACAATCATTTAACTTCAAGTTCTCCAACTAACATTCCTTCCACTTCACAATCTTATAGGTTGACGCTCATGTGAAAGCTCTCAGAACTCTATGCAAGCAAAAGGCTGTATCTCCAGAAGAGGGAGATGAACTTATTGGAAAATGGGTGCATCAGTTGCTGTACGGGGCTCAGAAAATTCTTGAAAGCTGCATGTCTACACTCTCAGAAACTGTCAAGACTGATGGCTTTTTAACTCCGCCAAGTGGTCAGATGAAAGGGAAAGATGAGGTAGCTTCATCAAAGTCCTTCTCACAAGCCATAACTGCAGCTTTCACTATTGGGTCTTTGGTTTTGATTTACCCCTCGGCTGATCTGCATGGTATTGTCCCTCTGTTACATACAATGATAACATCAGGGAAGCCTGGATCAGAGAAAACAAAACTAGCAAGTCTTACTATATCTGTGAAAGAAATGGAACCGTCTCTGTATGTTCATTCATGGGTGACCATGGGAAAAATTTGCCTTGTTGATGATAAACTAGCAACGCGTTACATGCCACTATTCGTACAGGTCTGTTGGTTTTTGCAACTGTGAAAAATAATGGCCTGGTTTCTCGTTACTCAGTTTACTGAGGTTTTTTATTGGTCTCGTAGGAACTTGAGAACAGTGATTGTGCAGCTCTTCGCAACAATATTTTGGTTATGATGGTTGACTTTTGTGTTCGGTACACAGCTTTAGTTGATTGGTATGTCACGCACAATTGCAATTCGCATGATTCTTTCACTGCATCTACATTTTCCTGCTTTTTGCATAAACTCCTTAATCTTTGGCAGTTCCTAGAAGTTGAATTTATAGTTGAAGTAGGATATAGCTGAAGCAGAGATTAGCATGACAAATCCTCCCCTATTACAGGTTGACAATTTTTTGCTGCTTTCTCATGTTGATATTGTGGCTTTTGCTAGATGAAGTCTGATAACTAAAGTCTTATGGTAATTGCTAATTACGAAATTTTTTACCTAACTTCTCCTATTCATTTTACACAGATTATTAACATTTAATTCATTAGGAAACGACTGATAAAAGTGCTTATATACTTCTATGAGGAGGTCCCATGCATATTATAAAAGACTAATGGATTCTCCTTGGATTCTGTGGTTATTTTCTGGAAGCCAGTTGTTGTTGTATGGGTTGGTCTGATCTTTTGTGAATCACTGGATCTTTATCAATTTTTGTTAAATAGTTTCATGTACCTATCTACTTCTCCTGCATCAAGTCATGCTTTGATTTTCCCTTTGAAAACATCTGTCAACATGGATTCAGATACAGAACTCATTATTGAAATTATTTCTTCTTATAGTTTAGAGTAAGGGTTTCCTTTTGTAACTTGCTAATTTGTATGTTGCTGGAGATGAAATCCCTGTCAATTGCTGGTATGGACTTTAGCTTGTGTAGGCAGCGGTGGAACTAGGAAGAGCTTAGGGTGGGAAATTGTCCACTCTGATTTTTTTTGCCCAATGCGATTGCCCAAATTTCAAGAAAAAATATCTTTTTGCTTTAGTCATGGATGTTCTCACTAGACATTTGTAAGAGGATGTACCTTGGTGCATGCTTTTTGCTGATGATATTCTTCTTGTTGATAAGACTAGAGAGGGAGTTGAAAGTATACTTGAATTATGGAGGTCAACATTAAAGACTAAAGGTTTTCTCTTGAGTAATAGACCTAGTGATGGGATTGTGACTTTGGACGATCAAGTCATTAATATGATAGAAATGTACCCCTCAAACTTAAGGGAAAATTCTATAAGATGGTAGTGAGGCCTGCAATGCTTTATGGTGCTGAATGTTGGCCATTAAAAGAGAAGCATAATACTAAGTTAAGTGTGACAGAGATGAGGATGCTCAGGTGGATGAGTGGCTTTACCCTTAGAGATAGGATACGAAATGAGCATATACGTGAAAAGGTTGGAGTAGCTCCAGTAGAAGATAAGATTAGAGAGAGTCGCCTTAGATGGTGTGGTCACATAAAACGATGGCCTTCCAATGACCCGGTTAGGAGAGTAGAGGTATTAGATTTGACTTATGTTAAGAAAGGTAGAGGCAGACCTAAAAAGACTTGGTTAGAAAATATTAGGAATGACTTTTCTTTATTAGATTTAAATTAGAATTTGACCTTTAATAGGACACAATGGAGAAAAAGGATTCATGTAGCCGACCCCACGTAGTGGGATAAAGGCTTGTTGTTGTTGTTGTATACATAAAATTTTGTATATCACAATTTTATTTTGCCCACCTTCAAATGAGAGGTTAGTTACGCCTACACCGTAGTCGGGTGACTAAGGTAGAGGGAACAGCCGTCAGGTGACGGTGGTTTGTGGTCGGAAGGATCATAATCGGGTGATAAAGGTCAGAGGGTTCCGTAGTTGACAGACGATTGAGGTCGGAGGGCCACGGTAGTCGGAGGGGCCACAGTCGACAGTCGATGGTGGTCGAGGGGACCGTAGTTAGCGGGCGATTACGGTAGGAGGGATCGTAGTCAGTGAGCAATGGAGGTTGAAGGGATCGTAATCGGCGGACGATAAAGGTTAGAGGGATCATAGTAGGCGGACGGTAGAGGTTGGAGGCTAGAGGGATCATAGATGGTGAGCGATAGGGGTTGGAGGGACCATCATAGGCTTGTGATGGAGGTCGGAGGGACTATAGTCGATGGGTGACGGTGGCCGGAGGGATTGTAGTCGGTGGAAAACGGAGGTTGGAGGGATCATAGTTGGCGGACGCAGAGGTCAGAGGGATCGTAGTTGGCAACGACAGAGTTTGCAGGCTAGAGGGATCATAGTTGGTGGGTGATGGAGGTCGAAGGGACCATAGTTGGAGAACGATGGTGGTCCAAGGGACCGTAGTTTGAGGGTGACAGTGGTTCCAGGGGTTCGTAGTCTGTGGGTGTCGGTGTTTGGAGGGACCACAGTGGCGAGCGACGAAGGTTTGCGGGCAACAATGGTTAGAAGGATCATACTTGGCGGACGATAGAAGTTTGAGGGATCGTAGTCGGCTTGCAATTGTGGTCAGAGAGATCATAGTCTCTGGGCAATGGTCGTTAGCGGGCGACAGTGGTCGAAGGGAATGTCAGCGACTGGTGACGGAGGTCGGAGGGACCATAGTAGGCGTGCGATGGTGGTTGGAGGGATTGTAGTCTGTTGGTGATGGTGGTCGGAGGTACCATAGTCAACGGGCGATGGTGGTCAGAGGGTTGTAGTATGCGAACAACGGTGGTTCGAGGGACCGTATTCAGCGGGTGATGGTGGTTGGAGGGACTATAGTTGACGGGCGATGGTGGTCGGAGGGATCGTAGTTGACAGGTGACGAAGGTTGGAGGGACTGTAGTTGGTAGGCAACGGTGGCCAGAGGGACAGTAGTTGGCGGGCGACAGTGATTGTAGGGATCGTAGTCAGTAGCAACGGAGGTCAGACGAAGGCCCATCTATGGTTGCTGGATGGAGGTCTGATGGTGATGGTCGGGCACAGGTCTAGTAGCAGCCTAGTGGTGAGGGTTCGCCTGCGGTTGTATTGAGGTGGAGCTTTGGGATGCTTCAAGATTCAGAGTTCTCTTAAGTGTCTAGCCTAGAGTTTAAGCCTCCAAATGTCCAAGCCCCCTCTCATGTGAGAAGAGGGTTTTATTTATAGATTTTGAAAAAGTGGCATGCTCCATAAATATGGAGAAGATCCATGGTAAATTCAGAGTGCTCCATCTGATGGCTCATATTTATTCCCTAGATCATGGAGTTTTTGTTCAACATTTAAGTTCCTTACTCATATCAGAATTAAAAGATCTTGGGCTCATTGGATTCGTCTTATTGAGCCTCTTAATTCAACTATAAGCATGCCATATTTGGATATCATTTGGTAATCTAATTACTATTTTGGAGCTTCTAAATATGCTTTAAGCCCTTGATTTGAACTCGTTTGGGTTCAGATTAGACTAATTTTGGTGTCGTTAGATTCTTCTCATTGAGACGTTCAATTTAACTATAAGTTTGCTGAAATTGGAGTTCTGATGATCTGATATTTAATTTTGAAAGTTGCCAACTAGAATACGCCTCAAGATTTGTGCTCGATTAAAGCGATTTTTGGTGACTTATGAATACTAATAATAATAACTAAAACAAAAATTATATTTCTTTTAAAAGATTTTTTTAAAATGGATGATGGGATGGCCAAATGCTTTCCCACTTTTCTAATGCCAATGGCATGTTGTTATGATACAAGCCTTAATCAATGTTTAAAATTGCGTAATCGGATATTTAGGCGTTTTTCGTTTGTGAGGCGAGGCGTAAGCCTCAAAATTAAAAAATTTTGTAAACATAAAATGATAAATTTTGTATGTACTAATGAGTAAATAATATATAAAACATAAAAATACACAAGATAAATAGCAATGACATATCACGTAAGAACTCATAAGTCATCAGCACTATCTTTAGTCATCACTAAGGGGGTCTTCATTTGAATCATCATTATGATGAATTGCTCTCCTCTTCCTCCTCTCCTATAGAGTGCAATGTCTCCCAATTAGCTCCATTCTCATTATCAGTTATCTTCCTCTTTCCTAAATATTTTTAAATAATATCATAATGAATAATAGTGTAATACATTAATAAAAGTCTAAGAAAAGAAAACTATATTATTTATATACCTTTTTTATTTGTTTTTGAGTTGTGGTGGATGTAGATGCTTTAAAACCATCAAAGAAATTAACATTTAAATCTTCATCTTGTAATTCAGACGACATCACTTCAACTTCATCATCTACAAATCACTCATCATCAGATGTCACATCCTCGCAAAGCAAATGATCTTCATCATCCATTAATCATTTTTTCTTCAAATTCTTATCTCTGAGTCTCCTATTGTACATAATGTACAACAGTGAGTTCATCCTCAATGTCGACAAACAATTTCTCCTCTTTGTATGTACTTGGTTGTAAGCACTCCAATTCCTTTCACAATTATATGAAGAGCATGTCAAGCCCTAAACTTTCATAGCTAAACACTACAATTCTAGAGTCCCATCATCAAATTGAATCCACCTCTCAACTAATATTTATATAAGAGAGTTTAATTAGTGCGAAAAAATAACTTTTAAATAAATGTTTAAACATTAAATAAAAGTCTTCTTTGTTCCTTCTTTAATTGGCAATTGTATTCTTTGCTTGCTGTAATCCAAAAAAACCTTCTTTGTTCTTAAAAGTTACCAATTGCATGTTAACATTTGATCTTTCGGTTACATCACTTATTGGCTGATCCATGCAATGATACAATCTCAACTTTATTTTAGGGTTTGTAGACTTGTTCTCTGCATATTGATACTGAGGGTTTAGGTAGTAGCCAGCGGCATGCAAGTGTCATTGAAGCTGTAGTTCCCACCTATCATCAATAATATTCCAAATTTCCCTAAAGCTTCCCTCACTGCCTCCTAAGTTGGAGGCAATCATCTCTTTGGCTTCATCCATAGCATTGTAGATGAAACCCATTGCAGGCTTCTTCTCAGCATCCACCATCCTTAAAACATGAACTAAAGGTCTAGTGGTTGTAATGGCATATAAGACACTTTGCCAAAATCTGTCATTTAAAACAATATTTCTAATCTCTTTTCCCTCAGCCTTCTTCGCCCAAGCACAACTCAACCACTGTGTAGATGTGAACATAGCCTCTAAAGGTTGTCTGGCATCCAGCATGCTCTCTAAGGTCAAGT